TTTAATTGGTTACACAGCTCCTACAGATCTGATGGTCTTGTTGCAAACAGGGTATCTTTAACCTACTATAGTAAAACTAAATATTTGCTTTTGATCCAATAGTTAAATCAGCATCATACCAAACAGTTGAAATCTTCCCCAGACTGATTTAACTAGTTAATATCTAATCCTACCACAAAGGGGCACTGATATGCTTGAACTGGATTTTGCTTCCTATGGAAATTTGAGTTACGCCAGTTCCACAGCTTCTCTCCAGAACCTAAATACCCTGCTCTGGGCAGTCATGAACCACCTGTCTCCATCTGAGACTTAAACCTTTGAATCTTGTATGGGAGTTAAAGCTGGCATGGACATTTTATCACTCTTACTACAATCTGGTTATTTATAAAATAAATGATACCAAGAGGAGAGATAGCATTCCTGCCCTCTCCTCTGATGAGAGCAGCTGGGTACACAAGAAATTCCACAGAGTTCAAGAGTGTAACACCCAGCCAAATGCACCTCATATCCGATACAGAAGTGCTATCTATCAGTATATAAACAAATACAGGACACAAGAGGAGTAAACACTTAGAAGATAGATGTACACATTCAAAATAAACAAGAAGATAAAGTTTCTCTCATTATCAGTATTTTAAGATTGGCTTTGTTCTGTTTAATTTAACTGAAAATTATCACTCTGTTCTAAAAGAACAGTCCTAATCCTCTATTTTTAAGGGAGGAATTCAGGAAGAAAATCAACCTTAGCCAGTGCATAATGCTTTTCTATACAAAAAGTCAACTCACTCTTCCTTAATGACCAAGAGTAATGACATGGTAACAATATGCAATATTTCTTATGCCTCACATAAGACATTATTTGTAAATAATTTCAAAAATAAAATCAGCAGAGAAAATAGACATATCTAACACCACAGAATAATCTGTTGGAATAATGTATCAAAGTAAAGCATCTCATCGGATACCAGACATCTTAAATGGATAGCAATGAAATATAAAAAGTATTTTGAAGTATAGCAAGACAGTGTGGAGATATCTCCATTTGAAGATATTTCTGCATTTTAAGTGCCTTTAATTTGACACTTTAATCCATTTCATACTCACAGTATTTTCATTCAGTTCCTGTTTCTACTGTCTTCAAACACCAAATTCAGGAGCTACAAAATGCTGATCCTACTTTACCAGGTTTACATCTTTTTTAAAGAATTTGTTTTCTCAGGATGAAGCTATTACCCGAGAGAGCTCAATAAGGAACTCACACAAGCTTCTTGCCACTTTCTAATTCCTTCCATGATAAATAAAGTCACTATATAAATAAGAAATTCTGCATTATAGATTGCAAATGCTGAAAGGTACAGCTACAAATGCAACTGTATTGTTTATAACCTTAGATAAACATAACAGAGAGCATGAAAAAGAAAGCAATGCTTAACAATTAATCTCTAAATTTATATTTAGCCAAGTGATTAGACCTGTTCAAATACATGAAACACTTGCAATGTCCGTTGATCAGTGCTTAAAAGGATTACTTCAATGCAAAGACTTACCAAAATGATTAAACTAAGTTTTATTTGATGTCTGGTGCTTTCAGGGATTCTAAAATTAAATAACTGTTGCATATTGGCACAAAACTATTGATTTAATAGAAGTATCTTGATTTATGTTAACTTAGTATGCTGCACATTGTCACTTATAGGTGCTAACAGCTGTATGACATGATATTCAAACATGATTTTGCAATTAAACCCCAGACTTCAATAAAAAACTGAAACATTGAGGGTGCATGAAAGACTGAGGCATGAATAAAGATAGTAATTCATCAGTGGAGTCAAATATTTTGCTTTATACTTAAATTCTGCTTTTGTGATACTGCGAAAAAAAATATAGATACCTATAATTAAGTCCTGTGGTCTGTAATTTTTCCCTTCAGGAGATCAGCATTTGGAATGTTACAAAGTTATTATGATAAAATTAATCATAAAGAAGCAATGCACAGTCAAGACCTAAAGTACAGAATCATAGAATCTCACATCATGGCAAAGTCAGAGATTAAAAATCAAAACTGATGGTGGAAAGATGTGACACTTTCACTTAAAGAATGCCACTTCAAATCCAGGTCTAATGGCCATGGAAATAGCATCTTCTGGAGCTGGTGAGAAACTTTCACTTTAGGGGAAATTTCCAGTCTTTTTTAATAAAATGAGTTTCTTATGGAAATGAATAGGTACTCTTCTGTTGGAACCAAATTTGTGGTCTTTTCTTCAGGAAACATGGAAATGAAATCTGTTTTCAGAATTCCTCAAAGTTTAATAGCAAAATAAATAATTTTTTTTAGTCAATTTTGCTGTTTCTACCTGGCATATGCCAAAGCTTATAAGAATTGCATCATTTTCAGATATAACTGCCACTGCTCTTAATGTACTTGTCATTATGACCAGAGAATTCCTCATTTTCCATCCTTAGGAAATTTGGGAAATTTTAACTCAATGCTGCCAGGCTGGGCTTAGTGCTGGAGACTGAAGACTCTGAGTCTAGTACATAGTGAAGCCTCAGCAAAACCTAAAGCTTTCAGGAAGGTCTGGAAGTCCTAAGGTCTCTGTAGTGATTTTCAGATCCTGCAACAAGGAGACAGGACTGTGGAGAGCTTTAGCTTTCTGATCTGCCTGTCCCATAGCACTGTGATCACTAGTAACCACTCTTCATGCTGTCTTCTGAAAACCTGGATTCCTAGGGAATGTACCACAGCTGAGGCTCTGGGCTCCATAAAAGCTTACAAGAAACTTGACAGTGTTTCACTGGAACCTTCCACTTTTGCAAAATGCATGTTTTGACAAAACAGTACTTTCAGTGAGTTTTATAGAAGATATTTGGGTGAAAAGTTACCAGTCAGCTATAACTACCCAGCAGGTCTCTTGAAGATCGCTCTGTCCTCCCTTACCTTGTCTTTGCTACAAATGCTTGGTTTACAAAACTGCTTCTTGTAAACCATTTAGTGCTTTGTAAATTTGTGCACAATGGCAATGGTGCATACACTTATTTGGCACACGTGAAGGGTGTCACAGTTGAATGCTATAAATGCAAAAGGATAACTGGTTTTAACTTGAAAATTTTGGAAATTTTGGAAAAGTTTTGGTTTCTGAAATGGGTGTAAATTATAAAAAATGATCTGTAATTAGACTTTGGGTCCATACTATATAGATAAATATGTGTTAGCAATGCATTTGAAGGGGATAATGCTCTCAGCATTTATTGTCAGGCAGATATACTAAATTTGAGTAATACTTTGAGCAGAAACAAAAATATCCTGTCTGAAAGAAGAGGCTCATCTTTGCTATGCCAGAAATCAAAACCTCACCTGAGAACCAATGATAAGATGAATAAGGTGGAAATCATTCAATTAAGAAGCAACATACTTCCAGGAATTACCTTACCACTCTAAATCCGTCAGTATTCCATTAATTTATTTCAATTAACAAAAAAGAAAAAAGGGACAGGAGCAGCAATGAAGAGACACACACAGTTAAAGGTGTCTACCTCTGATATCAACAGTTATGCACATTTTTCACCCCTTTTATTTTTTTTAAAAATTCAATTTTTTAAAAGATGCTCTATCTATTATCTAACACAATCAGGAAGAGGCATTTGTTAAAAATACTGATAATTCTATATTCTCTTGGGAAAAGTATTGCAAGTGTATTTGTTAGATGGAAGGTTAAAGCAATTTGTGTTGAAAATAGAAATGCATATACAGAAAAAAACCTCAAAAGGTATGCTACAGGCAGGGGATTTTATACAATTATCTCCTTCCTGTCACATTAGCTAAAATTTATCTGCAATTACTAAAAACTAAGTCAATATAATTAAGTTTTTAGCCATCAGTTTTTTTATTTACATCTGTTCCAATTTCCAGTCTACCTGACAAGATCTACCTGGCAATTGAGAACTGTGTCCTTTCCTATCACAAGCTTTGCTTGTCAAATCAATCCCCATTCTCTCTTCAAAAGTGGTTTATCATCAGGGACTTACTAGATAATTTGTCTGGATAGGAAATGAGAAGGAATTTCATTTGCTCTCCTTTCTCTGAACTGCTACCTCTGCAAAGCTGAAAAAAACAAAATGTGTTTTGCCATCTAAGCACTTGTACATATGCATACACTAGTTATAAGCTAATAGTTTCTACAGATTTTTCAAGGGTTCTCACACTGAAATTTATTTTAAATCAAAACTTGCCCTATTCTAGGTTAACTCAAACTTCAAAGATGCAACAAAACCCAAAAAGGATAAGAGCATTTTTAGGAAAAAATCAAAGGAGAAATGATTCACTCCAAAGAAAACAAAAGCCACATATGTTTAACAAACTGTTCTCCTTCCCTATACTGAAAACCCATGTACCATTACATTGATTTATCCTGGAAAACAGATGAGCACGGATAGTGTACATTTGACTTTCAGGATACAAGGTCGCCCTGTAGTTTAGATTCCATTAACTAATCTTAATGTACGAGTGATTAATTTGCCCACAAGTGTAACAGTTAGAACAGATGCAGCTAAATTGATTGACTGTGTTACTTTATAACTGCTATGTCTGCATTGGTATACATGTCATTCTCAACCAGAAGTTATGGGCTCAACGTAAAAATTACTGGGTGAACTGGACTGTGTTATTCAGGAGCAAAACATGATGAGTAAGGTTTCTTAGTGGCTTAAAAATAAGCAGATCAGCCAATAACAAAAAGCTGAAGATAAAAATTTTAAATACAAAAGCCTATTATTTGTGCATTCATATTGCATGTATGGTGAAATAGAGTCTTTAGTCCAAATCCTCTGCCTCTGTAAATTAACTAACTTAAATGTAGAAATAAAACCACTGGGACTGATTTAACAACTGCAAATACAAAGCCATTTTGGACAGGCAGATGTTTCTTTAACTGTGCCAGCATTTTGCACAGCTGTTCTGGCCACTTGACACTTGAGTGTAATTAAATTCAAAAGCACCATACCTTCCGAAGAGGTTTGAGCTTGGTCTCCATTATAAAGTCGTACTTGCAGAGTTCACAACAGCGCGTGTCAGAGCTCTTAATCCACTGGTGCAGGCAGGCCTGATGAACAAAGCGCAGGGTCCCTGTGCAGCGACATGGTGTGATGAGGGGACTTTCATCATCTCCCTCACAGTGACAGATCCTGACAGGAAGGACAGCAAGAGCTAGTGAGGGAACTTGCCAACCAGCAATGCAAAGGCACTGGTTTATTGACATCGCTTTTTCATTTTCAGACTTGACATTCATAAGACGCCAAGACCTTTCGGATTGAGGCCCAGGAACATATTTCTTGTTCCCTTCTGCCACTTAGTAATTTCTCTTCACTTAGTTATTTCTCTTTGAATTTGCTACGTGGTCTGAAGGCGAATCAATAGAAATAACACTGTTTTTCCCTTTCACGCATGGCAAAACCTTCAGGACAAATGCCGGTACTCTTTCTAAGAGCTGAGTAGTTCTTGATCTGTAAGTAATGCCAATAAAATACTCAATGGTAGAAAAATCTAACCCCAGGCTGAAAATATCCAGTATGAAAGGTACAAAAAGTTCCTAGAATACCTCTGGAGTTACACAGTTAAAAGGATTAGAGAACAGTTTTGAGTACTCTGGAGTAATGCATATGGCACAGCCTATACACACAGTTTTTAGCAAACAGGTGTTAAAAAGTCAAGTTAAAAAGTCCTTCCTCTTTTTCATTCTTCACTGTCCCTTTGAAGCAGATAGCTGCATTATCTGGGAAAACAAAAAGTACAGCTGTAAGCAGACCCTAAGGTAGGAGTTGGTCCTAGAACCATTGTTGCCTTGTAATGGGATACAGAGTTTTTCATATTGTGGTTTTGCATAAAATGATCAGTGTCCTAACATCACAATCTGATGGTTTTCTTCTGTGACACAGGTCCAAATTTCTTGGCAATGTTTCCCTCTTCCAAACATACTCCTGATCATATCAGGAAAACATTCACCCACCAAAACCAATGACAGCTTTATTGACAAGTGTCTCTGTGAGGGCAGAGGATGCCCTATGGTGAACAGAAGGCTTAACCAAACACCTGAAGTGAAGGACGTTCACCTCAAAGAAGAGTAACTCCCTTCCATCCCCACCCCAGAAAAACACAACAAAGCAACCAAGCCCTAATGAATGTCCTAAGAGTCAAACTGGCATGTAAGGGGGAAAAAGAAGCTGAAGCCTGAGAAATGTTATTTCAAAATAGAGAAGTAGCAACAATGGCACAGATCCTGGTGTCACGCAAGTGAAACTGAACTTAGAAACTTAGTACTTAGGAAAGGCACCCTCAAATACATATGTGCAGAGAAGGCTGAACACATCTGAAGAATAACTCACCCTTTTGTGCAGAAAACTGTGGCCACACTGCCCCTGGGGTAGGAAAAAGGCAGAGGAGGACCCTGCGGTGAGGCTGTCTTCCTACCAGCCAGACTAAAGAAGGGCAACCTTCTTCACAGCACAGGAGCAGCTGATGTAGGTCAGGAGGCAGCCTGGCAAAGACACCCTGTGGAAGACTGGCTACAGCACAGCTCTGAGGCTACCAAGCCTACAAGCAGGGGGAGGAAGAGATTTCAGTGTCTAAGTGAAAGATCTATGGATCAAAACCAGCAGCTTCACTATTCTTCCATGGTATAGCATGAGACAAAAAAAAGACCAAAACCAACCAACCAACCAACCCACTAACCAACCAAACAAAAACAGCCAAAAAAATGAAGGTCTGGGAACCTCATGCACAAAAGACGGGTTTTCAGTGCTTACAGTGGTGCCTGTACACTAATTGGCATCTTATACCTCATGGGAGTAGAAGGGAGAAGAAAATACCCACAATTTCTACCTCGCACGCATTAATTTTTTGTGAGGCACATTTTACAAGAAGTCAATTTACAGTCTTTTTTTTTACTAAGCCAGCCAAACTAGGTGCATCAGTGGCTTAGCTCTTATATGGAAATTGTCTGTGGGCTGGCTTCTTATTGAGCCTGTAGCTTAAGCAGAACTAAATTTTCAAAACAACAAATAGCTATTTTGTGAACAAATGCATTCCCAGCTGAGAGTTACATAAACCCCCATCATTTTCTTTTTAAATTAAAGCTATTTCCCAAACTAGTATTCTTTATTCATTTAAATTCAAGCTATACATAATTTATTTTACAGGCTTAGCATTTAAACTATTTAGAAATTAGACAACTAAGCTCTGTACCCAAGAGCCTTTTTTCTACTACTGCCAGAATAGTTTAAAATTATTTTAAGAGCTAAAACACAAGATTAAAACTCCACTGGGATCTTAAAATAAAGTGACATTGCAAATCTGAAATTAATAGAAGTATTCTTCAGTAGAAATACTTTTACAGAAAAACACTATATGAATTATACATTCTATTTGTTCTTTCATTGTATAGAAGTTACAAGCTAAACATATAAATAATAGGTTGACATTAAGAACCTACATTATACAGAAGCTCCAGCTAAATAATCTAATGGCCTCTTCCAGCTTTCTAACCATGAAATATGTAATGAGAATAAAAATGAACTTCAAATGGAAATAAAGTCCAGAGAAAATAACCAAAGGCATGGTTTTCATTATCTTGAATGCTCTCTGGTGCGGTTTAGCTCTTCATTATTTGTTTAGCCAAAAGAAATTAGCTTAAAAGAAATTTGTGCTACGTAAACTTGCAATCACAGTCTTTAAAGACATGTGGGTGCCTAAAAGCTATTGAAACAGACTGTTGGCTAACTGCTTGAATTTTGTACATCTTCGCCCTTTGCTGTATTTATCTATCATGTACATCATAATTATCACGAATTATAGAAAATAATTGTAAACAATGGTTTTGAAAAATATGTTGTGCAAATAGAACTGAAGTAGGGATACAAAGCATCGACTTATCAGAGTGGTATCTAAACCAAGTCAGAGACAGAGAACTTCAGTTTTAGTTTCTTATTTTTACATGATCACAACTGTTCAAAATTTTCATCCATCAGACTGACTCTTTACAGGGCTGGCCTTATAATGAGAGTAAAATTTGCTTACATTAGAAATTAGTTGAATGAAAAAAACCCACTCTCCACTATAAAGAAAAATAATTTGCTAAATCTATAACTGATTTATAAAGAAATTGTAGCACAACACTGATCATGGTTAATAGCTGCAGTTTCAGCTGTTCAGACACACCTACAGAATTTACATACTCAGCTTTTCTCACGTTTCTAGTCCTTTAATAATGGCTTTCATTATAGAGCAATACTTTTGACTACCCAGAAAAGGAGGGGAGGAAAGGAAGTCAGCTATTTGACCAAATCCTTTTAGTTAGAATCCTTTTGTAGTCATCAATTAAGCCTGCATAATTTTTTTTTTGTAGGCTTGACAGCTTAGTGCTTTAAGATTCCTTCCTATGAGCAGGACCTTGCATGTCTAGGGGAAAAATTGGGTACCAGGTCTAAAGGAGCTTTTGCTCTATAAATCATTTGTACACCAGACAATACAGCATATATGAGCTATTAGATGATCTTCTGATTCAGATATACAAAAAACTTTGTGTGTGTGTGTGTATAATATACAACTACAGACACGTGCCTACAGATTGAGATCACAGAATATTTATTTTTCTTTAAAGAAATGTCATTGTGCAATTTTATGGAATAATACTCTAACAGTGCAATCATACTTATGCTTAAATTTTAAAATAGTTGCATTCAAGGCACATTCAAATGAGAACCTATTAATAATGCAATGCTTCACTGAGAAATTGTATGTGACATATTAAACTTTGTACCTTAATGACTATGCAAAAGGAGTAAGTAAAGTTGCTAGCACAGAATCACAGAATGTCAGGGATTGGAAGGGACCTCAAAAGATCATCTAGACCAATCCCCCTGCCGGAGCAGGAACCTAAACGAGATTTCACAGGAAGGCATCCAGGCAGGTTTTGAATGTCTCCAGAGAAGGAGACTCCACAACCTTCCTGGGCAGTCTGTTCCAGTGCTCTGTCACCCTCACCATAAAGAAGTTTCTAAGGTGTACCATTTACTTAATTGAAGAGTATATTTACATCATATTGTGAGGAACTGCACTGTGGACTTGTCT